AGAACCTTCACAGACATGTTGCACAGTTTCCAGTATCATGACAGTTACATTTACATCTGGGTTAACAATTAGTTCCTCTGATTTTCCCACAGTGAAGAAGTCCTACGAGCAGCAGTAGAAGAGCCACCATCATGATGGTGAACACGATCCGTAAGATGAGGTAAATATGACATCCAGGCTCTGAGGAGGGGTCTGTCTCAGTTTCTGTGTGATTGCCAGCATAGATGATAAAAATTAATTAGCTGTGTTCACCTTGGTTAATTACTTAATTCATTAATATCTACATTTCATACAGGCAAAGGCCTCAACAATTGCCAGAACCTGCAGTTCCTCTATTGCCCCCACAGACTGTCAAACTGTTAAAATGCCCAACAATTGGCCAACTAAAGAAATATGTTTATGGACTTGAATAAAAATGTTGTTTCTATATCTTTCTTTCTTTCTTTTTTTTTTTTTTTAGCTTTTCCTTCTCTTTACGATATTAACTCTGGTTATTTTATATATTTTCATAATCCACAAGTCAGAGGGGGATGTAATCATGTTGTTAGCCTGTTTGATGTTTACTATCCATGACAGAATTGGGGTGTTTTTGGTGGTTTTTGGTGTCTGATGTGAAAAGAAAATTTTGTGAATGAGAAAAATACAGTGAATTATTTTGCAATGAAAGAGTGTGTTTAGTGATGCAGCTTTAATACTCCTGGCATTAAAAAAGGGGGGAAAGTGTTGACTTCCTCAGTGTCTCACCTGTGACATTCAGCCAGCTCACTGGTGACTCTCCAGCTCCTGAAATGCTGCATTTGTAACGTCCTTCATGAAAATTTAAAACTCTGCCGATGGTCATGTATCTTGTGGAGCTCTTCCTGATGAGGATTCCATCTTTGTAGAACTGAGCTGTGAAGTTGGAGGAAGTTGTCTTGTTCCTGCAGCTCAGAGTCACAGCTTCTCCCTCCATCACAGGAACAGCAGGACTCTCCAGGATCACAGGACCAGCTGAAAACCAACATGTATAAATCTATTCAATGATGTGTTTGATTATTACAGCATATTGCTTACTAAATGGAAACTTACCAGTAACAGTGATGTTGATAATGTTGCTTTTCTCCCCTCCTCCAGTCTCACATATGAACTCTCCACTGTCTTCTGTATAAACATTTTT